AATGCAAATATTAGGTTGGAGAAAAGAATGTCGTTTTTTGTTCCCTCGCTATTCGCAACAAGGCAAAATCCAGAAACATGTACGGGATACCTCTCAATAGAGCAAAGTAAGTTCTACAAATTGGCTTTACTGCTCTTGCACCAAGTCATCCATGTAAAGTTTGAAAATGAAATCGAAAAGGTTCCGATGAATAATCGAAAAATTTTAAAAATTCGTATCATTGTTCGAAATTTTCCACGAAACCTCAACTTGCTCACGAACACACAGCCCTATAAAGCATTCATAAGAGCATTTGCTGCAATTCTTCCTTGTTTAGACATCGAAAAATCAAAAAATTGTGTGCTTTCCCCAAAATGATGTTGGGCTGTTTCCGCGTCAGTAATTCTATACCACTTGGCTAGGAATGCAAAACCGTAGATTTTCAGCCTTCCACAAGAGTTAACTTCGAAAAATATCGAATTTAATTTGAAGAACAAAACAAAAAGGGCTATTTGATATTTTTCGAGAGCAAACTCTTGCAGAAGGCAGAAAAACTGCTGTTGTACTTTTCAAGCTAAGCAATATAGAATTAATGACGCGAGAATAGACCAACATCACTTTGGAAGAAGCACGAAAATTTTCGATTTTTTGATGACTAGCCAAGGAAAAATTACGGCAAAATCGCATATGAGTGTTTGATGGGAGATGTATGTCTGTGAGCAAGTTGAGGGTTCGTAGGAATTTTTTGAACGGAGATACGCCTTTTTTTTCAATTTTTCGGCCATCTAAAATCTTTTGGTTATCCTCGAACTTTCGTGGCTATAGGTTGATGCAAAAGCAGCAGAACCATTTCGTGGAGCCTTTTTTGCTTTATCGATGGGTATCTCATACACGTTTCTGGGATTTGCATTGTTGCAATGCCATGACGAAGAAATTATTAGGTTGGTCCGAAAGTTCTGTCCCACCATTTTCAAAAAATCGTAACTTCTTCCTAACACAATGTTTTTGCAAGAGTAAAATCATATTAGAAAGAGCAATTAATGTACTTTCTGAAACTGAGTTGGCTGTTATTCACTAAGTCCTGAATGCAGAGATAAAATTGGGGAAAGGAATTCATTTCAATTTTGGAATTTTTAGGCAAGCCCGTTAAAAAATCCAAAACAGTGCCATAAAATCCAAAACAGCCGCTATCCTAGACTAAATTTCCTCTTTCTGGCTGAGCAAAGCTCGCGTTGATCGAGCTGTTCTTCGAATAGTTATGATTTTTTGAAAAAAATGTCAAAAAATCAATTTTCTTTAGAAACTGAATTTTTGGCATTTTTCTTAAAATCATAACTTCCTTCAAAAGAGCTCGATCAGCGCAAATTTTGCTCAGCTGAAAGAGGGGATCAAAAAACCTAGGATACTGGCTGTTTTGGATTTTATGGCACACTTTTGGATTTTTTAATGGGCTTGCTTAAAAATTCCGAAACTGAAATGAATTCCTTTCCCCAATTTTATCTCTGCATTCAGAGCTTAATGAATAGCAGCCAACTCAGTTTTAGAAAATGCATGAATTGTTCTTTTCAAGAAGGTTTTAGCCATGCAGAAACATTATGATAGGTGGAAGTTACGATTTTTTGAAAATGGCGGGACAGAACTTTCGGACCAACCTAATAATAGGGACATTCTTTTCTTTCCACCTAATATCATTTGAAGCTAGTCAAGCAGCATTTTCTGAGCTCCTTCACAGAAAGAAAGGCTACCAATATTTCGATACTTATTTCACTAAAGTGGCGTGACAACGCAAATATGATATAGGCGTTTCCCGTGCATATAGCGGGCGTGGCCCTGCATTTGAACATGTCGAAAAACTTGTTGAACCTCCACTTTAAAGCATTGGTTTTTGTAATCTCTAGCTACCAAAAACTGCTACGCGCATACTTTGGCAAACGTCGGCAAAGCTCCGCCCGCCATATTGTGAGGAATAGACGATACCATTCGACTATTCAAGGATTTTATCCGGTTTTTTTCTCTTCCTTTTACCGACTTTCCGTTGTTCCCTTTGAAACCCATAATTCTGCAACTTCTTCCGCTATATCTCAGATGGACTACGACTAAAGATTTGCGGAAAGCCTTGAGCGCCTTCCTTTATGCATTGTGTTATACAGCCCAATTAGGGAACGGAGGGCGCGAAAAAATTGGCTAAGGCCTAGAAAGGTTCTTACGGGCAGGTTATGCAGTTGTTTGTTTGAAGACTATATTATTTCAACGTTATTTGGAAAATTTCACGTTTATTTCCGCTAATCTAACTTTTCTAACTTTCCAAATTTCTGAAGCCCTCTCCCACATTCCATGACGTCTTTTTTCCTTTCACTTCTGCATTTCTTTTTACTTGTGACATGTTTCTGCCTAACTGTATATCTATGAAGGATTGTCGTCGCACGACCAGTTAGTAGCAGCGCTTTTTAAGGGCCCCAGAGACAGTGGCAATCCATAAAAGTGGGATCAATTTGGCATTGCATGACTGCATTCATGCAATAGATGCGTTTTTCTTGATATGTCGTTTCCCCTTCATGTAGTCGTCTTTCTTTTTTTTTCTTTTTTGAATTTGATGTTTGAAAAGTCCACCTTGTATTTATAGACAAGCTTTTTCCCACATGTTCTTAAAAGAACGCATAAATCATTCTTAGTTGTCCTTGACAAATTTATGTTGACTACCATTCCTATTCTTTCTGCGAATTTCAACCCCCGCAGGAGTGATTAGAAACTTATCACTTTCTAGATTTTTCCACTTTTATTGTATCGCTGTATATCACAAAACCATTGTCTTACTTTCTATAATGTTGCTTTCAGACAAAGACGAAATTTATAGATTAATTAAAGCCCCGTTTTTCTGAGAATTGACGCACAACCATGCTCTAATCAAAGGTTTTTTCTTTGAAGATATATGCAATGCGTGTGCCGATCCGAATTCTGAGATCTAAAAGAGTCTTGCATACATTCTTAACTCTGACTATGAAACTTGTTAGAGGTCTCTATCTTTCTTGACGATTTTGTATATAATTTTCCTTGAAAAGTTTTACTTTTCACCTTCTTATTACATGATTATTTAGCACACCAAACCAACGATGATGGATGTGCTAAATAATTTGTTTCTTTATAATGGTCACGGGAATTCTGGGAAAAATTTTTATTTCTCTAAAATTTGAGGAAAAATAAAGCACACGTTTCAAATCAGATCAATCTTTCGAGAGAAAGTATATGTGGTCTGTATTTTCGAAATCCGTGAGATGTTTTGGAATTCTTATGAGGACCTGATAGTTTTCTCACTGGATTAAAATGTGCTTTTAGGTTCAAAGAAAGTTATTCTACACAACCAAGTTGATTTTGTTTCCTCCTGTGCAATTTTTGGAACATTAATACACTTGAGCTTTGCTTTTTAAGCTAATTTCTTTGCGAAAATGTGAAGTAGTTTTTATTTCCCTTTTTTAGACAGAAACCTTTTCAGGGACTAGAGGAAGGCAGGAAGGGCTCAAAATTATACAGATAAACGGCTGTCAATCATATTTTATTGCAAACTCTCGAATTCTTGTGACATAGCTTTAGCCGTACAAAAGTGAGAGTATGATAATTTTAGAACTTGCGACTTTTTTGCTCGAAAAGTAGATTTCTGCAAAGCTCCAAGACAAGCCCGGATAATGTAAGTGAACCGTACATTAGCATTTGTTGTACTTTCGCATTTACTCAACCTAAACTTTCACAAATATTTGCACAGTCTGTCTCAGAGTAGCTTGCCACTTTTTGTAAGGTGCACAATTTTTGTCCTGCAGAAAGTATTCTTGTAGTGCAGGGTTCCTTTTAGTCTTCATGCGGTTGCACATAAATACTCAAAAGGAAAAGAAGTCTTGCTCTTTACTGAGAGTCCTATAAAATGACTAGCTCTCTGAACGATGAAGCATCTCTTCATGATTTATGTTATTCTTCTTTTGAGAAACTAGCAGTAGTACCACCCGCGGTTACTGTGGAATTACGGTAGGAACCCATTCTTTTTCCGCATCTGAATTATCCACTATTCGAGCTTAGAAACCATTTCTTCTTTGAGTCTGGATTATCCACTATTTGGCTGTTTCAGAAATTTATGTAAATTTTATAACAAGGTTTTCTGTCACACTGTTCCCAGATATAATTTTTGTACTGTTCTGGTACGCCAACGGTAAAGGAGATTTTCAGAAGTCACTTTACAGTTTCCTAATACAGAATATGACTGGTATGGAAAAAATAGGTGAAACTTTGAATAGAATACGACTTTGAAATTAGTCTGATGGCAAACGATAGAATTTGAATTCGGAACCCTTGCGACTGTAATTCCAATAAATTCGAAAACACCAGTTTTAGTTTCCTGAAATTCAATATATTTTGGCGATTGCGCTGAAGGGATCTAAAAATCTCATTGTAATGTTATAGTAATGATCAAGAATAGATTATTCTGCAAAAATAGTAGAGGCCAGAGCGGACTATAAGAAAAAATGCGTAGGAAAATGAGAAAGTAAGTCGTTCACTGGCCTTTCTTTAGATTTCTCCTTGCTTGTGCTTATTTCAGTTTAATTATTCCACCGCGTTACCTTTTGTTGAAAACTTTTTCTACTCTACGCTAAAAAATACATCAAGACTTGAAGCCAATGGAAAATTTCTGTGGCTTGGCATCCGTAAAGTTGTAAAGGTGCTAAATTCACTTCGCTCTACTCCCACAAGATAGAAGATCCAGTGAAAAAGATCTTTGGAAACAGCACAAAAACAAGCTGTAGGTCTTCTACGAAGTAATAGAGATTTTATCAAAAAGTGCCACTTACCAATGAAGAAGAGAAGCATCGCCTATATCTTGCCATTCTCTCATGCATCGCTACATGTCCTGTTTTGTTTGATTGTATTGTCCTCAGCTATCAATTTATTTCAGATAACCTAATCTGACTTTTCCAGCATCATGTTTAGAATCAACTATTCGGAGTCCAGGGAATCTTATAACGCTCTTTTCCTTTCAGAATGCAGCTCCTGATGCAACGTTATGAGACTGCTCTTCGACGCAGTTCATGCCCGTCAAGTGCTCCAAGGCCAACTCGTCCAGCTCGACGCTATCAACCTCATTTGCGCAATGGTAAGTGTTCATCAGAATTTCGAGTAGAACTTAGTTCCGCTTACCGGAGTTGGGGGGGGAGGGGAGGGGGGAGAATAACATCTGAGGAATTCGTATATCACTCAATTTCAGATTAATCCTCAATTTTCAAAAAGTTCGCTTGACATTAATCTTCTGTAAACACGCACCATTTCAAAATTGAGGACTCTTTGTGAGCCAACAGCGCGGAATTTGCTCGACTAACCAACGGGTATTTGGCATTTGGTGCGACGTGAGCTAAATTTGAGAATGTAAGAAATAACAAGAACAAATGAATAATACAGCAGATGAAATATGATTTAAGCAGTTTCTGACAAGGAGAATAGGAAAAACGTCTTATTGTTACCATGGTAGGCTTGTTTATTTCCGCCATAATCAATGCCAAATGTCAAATGCGCGTTTTTTAACGCGCCGCTTCCGCTCAAATGTTCCTGGTTGCACAGGTTAAACATGACTCTGCGAAGTCTCCTCCCACCTTGGCAAGTTTTTTCTGTCTCTACGAATCGGATATCTTTGTGAAAAAATCTCTTGAGAGGTGTCCTTATGCTCCTTCTTACAAGATTTTTGTTCTTCCGTCTCTTTTTTTCCTCCTCCCCCTTGCTCCTTCCAAACAAAAACTACGAACCCATTTTTAGTTTTATCTAGCTGTGGACTGTCAATAAGTCTATAATTGAGATCACCTAGCATCACTCTCTGATAAATGCTAGCAGTTGTAGTCTCTTATCTCTACTTATCTCTCGTAACTCTTCTACCCTACTCACCAACCCGGCAACACTCCAGTTATCTGCCTATCTGCTCCTTATCTAAAAGTGCAGAATGAATCAGATGTCAGACTTTTTGCAAAACACTCAACTGTCATCTTATTCTCCAGCAGATCGACGTACTATTTGTGCGCGTATCAAAGCTTCCAGACAACTTATGAAAAGAAAATCGTTCTGGCCTTGACAGTGTCTTTGAGGTGGTGCGAGTCCTCAAAATATTATTACAAAAAAAAATCAATGCAGTAGCAGAGTAGTAGCAAACGTTGAGAAATTGCCATAATATGATTCTACCAATCCAGACTGAGGACATTCTCCAAATTTTATTCTTAATTCACTCTATTACCTAGGCAGTGCTTTCATTAGTTCTGGCCGCTACGTGGCGTACTTCATCTTCTCTTTCTCACAATATAGTCCATCTTACGCGGTCTTAAAAACCCTTAGAGGACATTTTGAGAGCACTGGCCAACCTACAAGCCACGAAATCCTCGCTACTGCTGATCTGAGTCATCGAATAATAGATGAAAAGATCAAAGAGGATTATTTTTCCGGAATTCGATTTCGCCGGATTCCACTGGAACTTTTACACCATAAAGGCGTTTGCTTGTTCCATAGTGAGTCTGGCTTTATTACAGAAAAATACTCGTAATTTCCCAGAATTTCCCATAATGACAAGTGGTTTGGACTAGCGAAGCGGGCGCGAGTGCGGGTTCCGAATAGCCCTCTTTAGGGCCGGGTATACATAACGCGATTTCATAGCCTCGCGATCCTCCCGAAAAGACAACTGTTACAAGTCTATTGCACACCATGCCTTTCGGTTGTGATAATTAGTCGCGCAAGGATTCGTACAATATTCTTGTTGAAAGAATTGCGAGGCTTTAAAATTCTATAATATGTCCTACTTTTCTGATGGAACGGTTGGGGTGCAGAGGATTGAGGCCGATATCCACTGGCGCGCCGCGCTCGCGGATGCTCCACTATTTGGACATCCGCCTTCGTCTGAGACTGGAATATAGCAGAATTTGTTGCACTTGTGTCATTGTGAAGGCATAGGCGAGTCATCATAAGCAGAGGATGGTCGTAGTTTCGTCCGGCTTACGAGGGAAGGATACTTAGTGACAGTGGCCTTTTGCAATGAGATGTATACCAGTAGGGCGCCTTGGGACGCTGATTCTAAATCTATGTTCATTATCTGCTGTGCGACTCCCTGAACGAAGTTATGGACTTTTTTCCATATTGATTTTGCAAGTTTCAGGCAGTCAAAATCGTTAGTAATCAGGCTTTTTAAGCTTTGATGTGTGTCGGTGACAGTTTTCTTGAGCTTAATGTAAAGCTTTGCTTTATCTGTATGCTCTTTTGTAGTGCGCGAACATTCGAACGATATTGGTGATACTGCATCAAAAACAGTGCAATTTTTGGTGACAAAAAATGTTCATAACTTCTTTCGGAAGAGCGCACAGCAGATAGTGAAAACAGATTTGGAATCAGCGCTTCAAGATGCATTTGATGGTATACGTTTCATTTCGAAAGGCCACGGTCATCAAGTATCCCTTGTTAGACAGCGAAACCATGAAAGAAGCAGCAGACGGCAAGAGGAACGAAAGAGCCCTTGATCAGAGACGTCAGCAACGTCCGCAACAACGTCCTGTCTCTGCGTGCGATGAATCGCCTGTACCTTTGGCAAGATCACCATTGTCCGGGGTCTCTCTTATGCTCGCTTCACCATAACTCAATGTTCTTTTGCCTTCGTGCCATAGGCCCGGCATTCACTTCGCGAGATTTTGTTACGACATCGACGTACCTACTCCACTTGATAGCTCGTTATAACAAGTAAGTCGGCATAAAAAGCGTTCGGTTCATTTATTTTTCATAGCCTTTCGTGAATGGTCTGTATATGCAATGAATACGGATATTCTTGACGCACCCACATGGGTCAACGACTCGTTAGATAATGCGGTGAGCTTATCATTCTTTGGCAGTACGTTCAGTCAATGACGCAGACAACGCAGAACTCGCATGCATATATAGGCGTCGCGGCTCTGCGCTATCGGCTGGCAATGACAGAGTAAACGGAGGCGATCGAGTTTCATCCAGTTATCTCGGAAAATAGCAAATATTTGAAGGCAGCGTCCAGGCAGATCTGGACCTATGGGGCTTTTACGTGGAAAGTACTTTTGGGGCCCTAACAAAGGCACTGCTCAGCGGCAGCTCAGGTAGTGCTCTAATGGCTGAGATATTCTCCTTGAAACTGGCCCCTGCGAACGTATTCGCAAGGATTCATGGCAGTTTCGCGGCAGGATCCACGCTTTGAGCCATGAATCCATGCGAAACACGGTCGCGAGGTCCAGTTTCGAGGGGAATATCTCAAGCGTTAGGGCACTACCTGAGCTGCCGATTGGGCAGCGGCTTAGTTAGGGCCCCAAAAGTACTTTCCACGTAAAATCCCCATAGGTCGAGACTTGCCTGGACCCTGCCTTCAACTGTATAGAATTTAATTGCCCACGATTAGCTATGAATACCAATAAGCGGGCGGTTGGAAATCTCACACCACATTTTGCCGTTTTGAAAATAACACAAAAGAAAGTAATCGTCTATAGTCGAACGCTGCGACGGCTCGGGTGTTGCGGCTGAGGCGATGGAAAAGGGAGTACACCGTTGACATGGACTCCGAAGGCTGTCTCGATGAAATTGTCGCGGCTCCAGCGGCGAGCTTACGCGCCGTCGTCGCTTGAACCGTGCGCCGCGTCTGTGAACGTAGTCTTTTTCGACCCGGAGTAGGAACATTCCAAGCGGAGCAGCGCGTCCGCATCGCCACTGTCTCAGCGAGATAGATTAGGATGAGGAGACGCAGACTGCAAAGCGGCGCGAATCGTTGCGAAGCGGACTTCCGCCAGTCCAATTTCCGCCTAGACTGAGTTGAAACTTACTATATCCGCTATGCATTTTCCAGAGTCCACTAACCTTCAAATGCCGTTCAAGAGTGGAAAATTGGCATAACAAATCTTATTTTAATTTTTATAAAAAATGCAAGAAACATTTTTGAAACACTAAAATTTTTTACTTCGACGATGAACTCTCAAACAATAATAAGTCCTTCGCAAATAGGCTGTTCCAATGGCAGCGATTCTGCACCGCGGCTTGGATATACGCGGCCGCCTCGCTCGGATTGTGTCTCGTCTGCGGACTTATTCTTTGGGCAATTTCCAAAGCCCACCAATCTTCTCGTCTTTCAAGCGTGTTGGCCAGGAACACAGCCGCAGACGCGGCGCAAACTATAGCCGCTGGCGGCCGCGCAAACTCGAGCCGCTGGCGATAACGACAGTGTCATTGAGACAACCTGTAAGCTGGTCGATAGCTGCAAGCGCTGCACTTAGGTCGCAGTTGAGCATTCTTATCGCTGACTCATTTGAAAAGTCTAAAAAAGTATGAACATCACTGACTCCAACAATTGTGGGAGAACCAAAGACAAAACTTGGAGAACTAAAAATAAGCTCTTCCTGGACTTTCTCAGTATCTCTCCCATATGTTAACCGTAAGATTCCATCAAATGCAAGGCAGAACCTACTAGTTCGATGATTTTTAGCAAAGTGCAGGACATTGCCAGCAACTTTTGCAATTTTTATGCTTCCAATATTCAAAAGTGCATTTGAATTGCACATCAAAGGGTGCACTGGTCGACCTTTTCGTCAATGCAGCGCTACCATCCGTTGTGTCCTCGTCTAGCAATAGAGTTAAATTCGAGGATGTCTCCTTCATACTCAAGGTCGCGATTTTCAAAAGAGCGTTTTAGCATGCTCTAATCACGTGAGAGTGACCTGTGGAGAAAAAATCGCGCGAAAAACTCCGATTCATAATCGGTAGACGCTTTCAAGAACTGAGATTTTGACTCTTTCAATTTTAGTATTTTCTCTCATTTCTGAATGTTAATGTTCTCATCTGATTTGAGGTCTTTCGTTAGAAAATGAGAAGTTAGCTCTATGTTGGAGCTGTCGTGCGTATCGATTTTCTTTTTCGCATCGGAAAATTTCGGCAGGATTTCCTGTTTACCTGCAATAAGACTGGTGTTCTATGTTTTCTTCACTCAAAGTACTTAGATTGCTGTCCAACACAGCCCACGCAGAGAAATAATGCAATGTAAAGCTTATGCAACATGCTAAGAAACTAGATTTGCCCTTCTGTAGAACAATTCCTTGAGCTCGCCGATTTATAGAACTGATGAAGTTTTAGTAAGTCTTAGTTCAATTACGCTGCTCGATTTTTTGAAGGTTACAAATTTTACCTAAGGACGCACCATACTTGATCCGCTTCGTCATTGGTCAATTCCATGAACTGACCAATAGTGAAGTGGAGAAGCGGATCAAGTGGACAACCGCCTCGCTATTGGTCAGTTCACTGAATTGACCAATGATGAAGTGGATCAGTATGGCGCGTGCTTAACTTATGAACCCTCTTCCAAAGGCCACAGTTTTCAACAGATCATTTTTTCTGCGCTTAATATAGAATTGAGATTGGTTTGTAGAAATTGGGATGGAAAAGGGACAGAAAAGGCCAATAAAGTGACGTTGTTTTTGCATTGAACTAAATTTGAAGGCTTGTATCAGGCTTCAAAAGTATCTTTGAAGGATTTACTTTGTTCCTTTTGTTTTTCTTGTAGCTCTTGAACGTCATCAATCTAAAAGCTGTTTGCATGCATCATTGAGATAGAGCATACGTGCATAGTTCGTTGACGCATTGAATAATTTCTTGCTCTTCAGCTATCTATGTTTCGTGTACCACAACAACCAATAGATGATGGTAGGTTATGTTTTGAATATTTATGTTTTCTCTTTTCGTCACTATTTTCTGCAATTTCTTGACATCCACCTATAATCGAAAAGCAAATGTCTTTTTTATAAAGCGAATGTAGACATATTTTGCGAGCTTTTAGTTATTCAACCATCCATTTTCCTTCAAAATTCAATAGCTGACTCAGTCGTCTGACTTTCTCGTAATATTCTCGTTGGCTCATCTAAACATAACGTTTGAACAGCTGTTCTGGAAAAGTAATTCTATAGATCCTGACATCCTGTTTCTTGTAATTAGTACGAGCGTCCTTGTTCTTATGGTTGGAGCTTGTTTCTTTGCGGATGATTGTTGTAAGTTGAAAGCCCACGTTATCACTGATAGGTCGATCTTTCTCTTCAGATCTTGGCTGCATTTTTCACATTTTTGTGTACTATTATTTTTATCTATACATCCCTCCGTAAATCTTGCACACTTTACCTTATAATTCTAGTTTTTGTAGTTGCTTCCATGTTAGATCGCCATACAACATCCCATTTGTTTTTTGGAAAGCTTGATGCTTCCATCTTCTGGGATATTCTATCTTGACTGAGTCTGAGTACACTGGGTTTCCTGTCGTATCGTGCATTGAAATACATCTTTTGTACGTTACACTTTACGTGCACCTTTTGGCAGGATTTCTTGTATTGATGTTTTATGAGTTATTGTCAGCAGAAGTACAAAGAACATGTGCTCCGGGGTTCCATGCAATGCATTTGATTCTGGGTACCGTGGTAATAGGTGGTCTGATGTACGAAAACAAGAGATATCAGAGAAAGGGAGACTGAGAAAGGGACGAAAAAAACTTTTCCGTAAATTCGACGATGTGGCAATTTCGTAAACTTTAACGGTGTGACAACTCTTGTCATTCATTCCTTTCTCCAAATATAAGTGCTGTTTTTTACATTTTCGTTCACTATCAGCTAATTCGAGTATTGAAATATGTCACTTTCAAAGAATTTTGCTAAATGATAATGCTTCTATGATCACTTCGATTGAATTTTTGTCACTGTCAATCTATGTGAGTCACGAGCGATGGACAAACGTTGAAAAACCGCCCCTTTCGTTCAGCTCACCACATTTTAGGAAAAGAATGGTCATCTTTTTCTCTGAAATCTGGATTTTCACTTTCACTTTTTCTTTTTGATTTTTTACACACTGTGTTTTGAAGACGAGTTTATGTGTGCGTTTCAGCTTTTCACTAGGCTACTCAGCTGAATCTTTTCCACCTTTTTTGTCCAGAGATCTGCTTTTTCAATTTCGACTCGTAGTATCAGCTAACGTTGAATCCGCTTCGAAATAGAGCCATTACGGGCGAACATAAACGCGATTATTGCTGCCAATCTTCCCTCGCCACTTCCATTGCCGTCATACTGCAGTCGACTGGTTCCTCTCCTTATTTGTGGCACAGTTGTTGCGTATGCAATGAGGTTGGAACTAATCCGTCCCACTCCTGGGAATTGTTCCCCCCATGTTGTTTTCGTGAATAGGTTTTGCACGCTCTAAATCGTTCCTTTATGTAGTCCGCGCCTTTAGAACTGCTACAATAAGTTGCGCTTTGAGACTGCCGTTCCAGACATTTACCACTTTGTAAAGTTCGCAAACATATAATGATCGCAAACATGATGAGAGAAGCTCGTCTTTCTTCTTCTCTAACTTCTTTTTTTGTTTTCTAGGTTTATATGCTGTTCCATAAACTTGTCTTTGCTATCTCCGCTTGTTGTAGTATGCATAGAATCATCTCCGCTTACGTTTCTTATCAGTTTGATGTGTGAGGCGTGAGTGGATGGTTTGAAATAGCCCGCGCCGTTTAGCTTTTTATATTGTGATTGCTTCTGATTATGCACAAGTTTGCGATGCGTTTTCTTTATCGTAAACGTTTTCTCTTTTTCAAAGTCTATATGTTGACTCAAATGGCGTTTTTATAGCTATAGTTTTCTTCAGTTTTTGAATAGCAGTTTTCTTCGCTTCGTAATATAGCATGGATTCTACTGAAGAAACGTTTCTGCACAGAAATTAGTGTCATGGAATTATGTAGCAGTTTATCTCAGGAATTGTTCGTGCATTCACAGCGTAAGCCTTTCCAGTTGAAGTGGCCTTTTTCAAATGAGTCCCGCATCACTTTGAAGAGCGTTGAATGCTGATTTCGAATCTGCTTTCCTTTTCTGTGGAACAACTCTAAAGAAGTTACGAGCGTTTGAAAGTTCAAATTTGTTGAGCTTTGAGTGACATGAGATTAGCGAAAACCTTGAAAACACCTGAAAGCGGTTAATAAGTTTTGTATTGAGTAAATAACTGCAAGGAAAGAACACAGCCAATGGAAACCTGCTTAGGTGTTTTTCACAAATTTTCGTTAATTTTATGCCAGTCAAAGCTTAACAAATTTGGAGTTCCAGACGCTCATAATTTCTTCCAAATGTTTCGCAGAAAAGGAAAGCAGATTCGAAAAAGCGTCCAGGGCTCTTCAAACGAATGTCGACTTATTTTTAAAGGCCCTTCAACTGAAGAGGTTTCCCTTGTCAGTGGAAAGAGCATAAAATAGTCTGCTTTTTCTCTGGATGAGATACATGGTAGCCGAGTCAGGCTACGATTTTATATTGTTTGTTCATAAAGCCAGTCCAGCTAGTCATATGGCATTACATGGATATCGCACTACTTTTTCTCTATTGGTGTCCAAAATTCGAATTTTGCATTTTATTGCCATGACTACATGTGAAGGCAGGACATCTCTTCGTATTCGTATCAATCCCTTCTTTTTCGAACAATTTCCCCTTTTGGACGAAAGCAGCTGTGCAGAAATGCTAGCTTCGTTTGTTTTTCTTTTCTGCTTACTCTACGAAAAGTACGCAAGACGTGCGAACGTTTAATTTGCACGACGACGGCGGCGACGTTTCCCTCGCCGTTCGCTATCGTTCTGTGCACTCTGCGCGTCATGTCCTTTGTGTCATTTGAGTCCCCTAGCCTGTCTAGGATTCCAGGATTCAATCGAGGTATCATGACCGAATTCGGGGCTGGCCGGTTAGTCGTTTGCGTTGGTGGTGGGGCCCCCACTCTGCATCTCTCACGCGCTCCACACCCTTTGCATGGTGTGGTGGGACGAGCAATCAATGACAAAGACATTTCCTCTCGCCACCAGCCTATTCACATCCGTCTATAGACTTTCGATTGGTGTTCGACATGATCTCATAGTGGATTTGACTCGTTTTCGAGCTGAGAGCGACCTTAGGGCACAAAATTTTGCAGCAGAATCGTGCGCTTCAACATGCATTGCAAATAACCTTCATAAAGATCTTTCGCTTTTGAAATGTCATCTCACTAAACCCCAGGTTGTTTTAAATTTCAATAAAACTTGTCGCTTTTTTTATTTTATCGATTTCGTCGCATTATGTACAGTTCTAATTGTACAATGATTCATATCAATGTTGGTGACAACGTGTTCGTCAAAATTTTGAAATATTTCTTTTTGCTGCTGCTTATGTTTGAAAAATTCCCATAAATCCAATTGGAGAACGATCATATGCTTGAGCTCAGCTTATTCTATTTTAATTTCATAGGAATCATTAAATTATTTCCCATGGTTTCCTTTCCTATAGGCAACAGAGAAGTGTAAATCTGCTTCAGCGAGTCAAAACAAAGTTTCTTTTTTTTTCAGGTCAAGCTGATCAAGAAAATCAGGTGCGATCTACACCGGTGCTAGGCCGTGGATCAAGTATGCCGGCACCTAAACGCATACCACCAGCGTTGCGTGGTTCCGGTAAGTTTTGTCGGTTCTTTATCGGTGTTTTTTAATTTTCATGACTAATTCTGCTTTAATACACTTATTTTGCTTTCTTTTATTTTCCCTTATATTTGTGTTGCGGATAGCTATCATGTGAATCATATCTAATGTAAACCGCATTACGTGCATCTCCTTTCCCTTTCCGATGTCGTATGTATTTTCAACTGATGTTGCGAAACTTCCTCACTGGTTCGGTCTCTCTGTTAGTCACGAATTGCGCAGTTCTGCGATCTGTGCTGTCGCCAACTGTGGGACTTTTTCTTGGTCAGCTTGAGAGTGAATCAGATATAGGTTTCCATGATCATGCTTTTTTGAATAGACCAGCGCTTGGCTAACATAATGCACCATAGTGACAGCTATGACGTTGTATCGCTCAGCAATCTGTCTTGGGTAGCTTGTGATTGGAAATGATTGGTTTTAGATGGTTAAGATTGATGGCAATTGGTGCTGCGGCTTCGAGACGTCGGTCACGCTTTCAATATGATACCAAATTTTCATTTTCCAGCTAACTCTGCGGGAGTCGTGACTGAGGATGATTTTCGGAAGGCGTTCACGCAAGTTCCAAAGTGTGATGTGAGATTCGCCCTTGTTTCATGTTATTCTACGTCTTTGTATCCAAAATATTGTAGATATATTCTGCGAAGGAATTGCAGTCACAGATGGAGTCGATCCGACAAGTTCTTGAGAACACTCAGCTAGATTGGTCCCAGCGCGTCAATTCTGTATGTTAAATTGATGTTGAACACTACTGATCTTTTTACATTTGCACTATGGAACGATCTTCAAATTTGATTTTATTGCAGTTGAAATTACTTCGTTCAATCTTAATCAATGGTGGAACGGACTTTGAAAACGAACTTTTATCTGGTGTCCATTCATTAGAGGATGCACTCATAACTTCGGTCAAAGATTTGCGGTCGCAAGTTTGTCGCGAAGCTTGTATAACAGTCAGGTTGGTTAGAATTAGTGTATTATTGCTTCAATTAGAATTTGAATTAGCGTATTATTGCTATTATTGCTTTTATCATTACAGTTTTTCCTCTTGCCTTTTTGCGTTTTCGTTATTTGAAGAGGGTGATTTTTCAATCCTTGAACTTTGTTTTTTATATCGACGGAGAAGGCTGATTATGGTCTATCACGTGAAGTGTAGTACAGTTCTTTTTTGGATAAATAAGAGCACTTTCATAGAAAACGCTACTGGAGTCTATACTCTAAGTTTATAGTTATGACTTCCGCCTTTTATGTTATGGGTGGTCATGGAAACCCTATCCCATCTACATCACTTCCTATATTTGAGATCCTCTCCCTATAAATATTGATGTTTCAGTTTTCTTTGCGAGAAACTCGAAGTATCTATTGTACGGTTGTGTGAATCACTGTTACCGGCTACCATCGGCCTCATCCAGAATAGTGTCAAAATCATGTCATCTTCAGGCGCTACAGCTTGTTATTTTATCATTAAGGTAGGCTAGCTCATCTTTCGTAAAGATTGTGAGAACAGTCACTTATATTTTGATCTGAGCAAAAATATCACGAATGATATCTTTTCAGTACGTGGAGCATCCGAAGCTTATTCCAATTGTTCTATCCTATAGTTCTTCGAAATCTAAGGAAATCCGAAAGTATGTTTTGTTTTAGAGTGAATTAAGGTATCATTCACTGCATTTATCTTCTGAGATTACAGAATTGTGCAAGATCTTGTAAACCAAATGCTTATGATATGGACGCCGGCTAAGCTCGACAAATCTCTTGGCGGAATTATCGACTGCATCAAAGTAATTCGTTGCGATTTGATTTGAAGTTTTTATTGGACTTTTTTTGAACCAGCTTTTTTGTTGTTTTTGTTTCAACTCTTTCATTCCAATTTCAACGTTTTCTTTGTGAAAAGATTTGGTTTACGAACATAAATCTTGCATAAACCAATCAATAAGCAAGAGTCGAAAAGGCGTGTGCAGCGCAGAGTGCACCGTCTTGTTTGGTGAGCAGAGCGCGAAGTGTTTGCTGGGGGGTCCGGTATGCTGACTTTTTATACCCTTTTCAAAATTTTGGAAAGGCAGCATCACCGCTAAATTCTTGTCGTCCTCGGATATTTCGAATTTCATTTAGTTTAAAGATTATATGAACTGTAACAGAAGTCGAGGTAACAGTATCGTGAAGATGAATATTATTTGGATAATCTCAAAAGTTTATGTCTGTGGTCGTATTTATCAACGAACCATTGAGTTGCGCTACCCAGCGGGTAAGCCAAAATAGTGCCGCTGGGCTGGATCGATATTCACAAAAAGCACTGCTGTTTCGCGAGCCCATTAGCTCGGTGAATACCGATCAGTGGGTGAGGCCTACACACTAGGTAGCGAAACCCACTGGTTCGTTGATGAATACGACCATTGGAGTGTATCGGCAGCGCAGGTTGCGCTAGGAGTGTATCTTCCCATTCCGTTGTTAATATGAATTAACTCAATGAATACGCTGAGCGAGATTGCCGTCATCCCTGGCCCTTATTGCCTAAATTGCGGGGAAGTAAGATCGTGTCAGTGTTCATCCTTAAGGCTGGCATCAGTGATGCGGACCCACATGCGCGTGCTTCTGCCCGAAATGGTTATCAGCAATTGGACCAACACTTCCCACATCAGGCACAGCTACTTTTCCAGGTAATTTATTTTTTCTACCAATTTATTACTTTGTAAACTTTTTTGTAGAGTTTGGATCCAACCAAGCAGCGTTCATTATCTGGAGCCGTATCAGCTGCGTCGTCCTCTCAGTCCATCAACAGCGAACGAGATTCGTTGAATATGGCACATAGACCCAATGCCCTGGGACTGAATAGACCAAAAAGTTGGTAAAAAAGCCAGGGCTCAGCCTTTCGTTTCCACGCTCATCTTCACATTTAAGCTACAAATTTCTTTGCTGGTCGCTCTGCTTCCGAAATAGATGCGAATGCTGTACGACGAGCTGCAGCTTATACTCCAGCTAAAAGTAAACTTGCCGGATCGATAGCAACTCGTAACACACCATGTGAGTAACATTCGATCATTTTTTGTTTTCATCATTGAATATGATACATCACATTTCATAATTATCCGTTCAACTATTGTTTAACCATGTTTTCAGCGGCGCGACCTGCTGTGGCTTCGCGATGTGGTATCCCACCTGCGAGGCAAACACCGTTGAAGACGAACAACTCCGTCAATCCTCCTGGCAGTGTTTCACAACGTTAGTTCACGATTATTTGGTAGCCAGAATATTGATTTTGAAGTATTTCTGTATATATGCAGAGCTCAAAAAAGGAAATTGAATCACTATAAAAAAATCGAATCAGCTTCTTCTCTTCGTAGACGCTAAAGGCAGTGTCCGGGCAAGCACACAGCATCGCGCAAGTACGAGGTTCTAATGTTCGACCTGAAGTAAGAAGAGCGATCGGCAATTAGGCCCCGGTCAGACTTCACGCGACTTAATCGTCGCGACTCAATCGCCGACATTTCCATTCATTTTCATTTCACATTCAAAAAATTCGGGCTGTAAAAATATCACAACCGAAATGAAAGTTGATCAGCATGGAATGATGTTGTAACAGTTGTCTCCTCGCGATTCAGTCGCGACGATCAAATCGCGTGAAGTCTGACCGGGGCCTTAGGGAAACTTTCGCCTTGGGGCGGGTCCTTCGACCTGTTTGAATTCCTGCCAAGCGCCAGAGTACGCATGCCGCAACAGTCAAAATCGTAGGATCCCAGCGATTCTGCGTCTCAGCCTTGGCGGTCAAATTTCAAATTGTATGGCTTTGGAAAACGGATGTTCTCGCTGCTTTCGCGTCTTCTGATGTGGATTTTCGGATTCAGCGTTGCGGATAACCGATAAGCGGACTTTCTAAAAATAGTTTGTGCCCGGACACTGCCTTCAAACTGCCCACATATCGGGAAGTTAACAAATTTGGGCGCACTGCAGTTCTTTCTCATACTCGCCAAATAGTCGCAATGCTCTCCTTTTCCTTCGCCTTTCATTAATCAACGCAAAGACTCCCCTCCCACCCCCCCCCCCCTTCTCATACATGAAACTTTGCTCAAAATTGAGTTTTGGACTAGATCGTGTGTGTAGCCTCGAGAATATGACTCTGCCATGGAATAGATTTTCTTGTATTTTTGATGTGCTCTAGTTTGTGGTAGTTTTTGTAAGCAATTAATGCAAGATGTCGCACCCATTTATCGATCAAAATGTATATTTAGTGTATTGTTAAAGCAGCGAAATTAGTACTAATTATGGGATAGATCTGTTATACATAGCCTGCGTTGCCTGTCTGGTGACTGCATCTATTTGCTCTCTCCACCATTGTCGCGTACCTCGTCTAAAACCGGCAAAACCAGGATCTTCATTATTCTAATCTCAAATACACGTACCTGGCTTTTTTTCAAAATAACATTGCGCTGCAGATGATGAGGGTCTTAATTAGTTCTGGCGCATAGATACATGCGAAATGTGTTGCGAAACTAGTCCAAGTGCTACATTAATTGCTATCATTCAATATGTTGTTCCAGCTGGATCCAGGAGCACATCACCCACCCGTACAGGCGCCAGTCGCCGGCCGGCTGCTCCAGTGGCATCCACTCCTTCAGTCATGTCATCAAGTCGAATCGGCATTGGAGTTGGTAGAGGACGGCAGATTGGGACAAGAGAAGCAAGTCCAAGGCGATGTGAGTGAAGATTACATCTAGTTAGCGATTTAAAGGTTTTAATTGCCAGATTTAGTCAGTGGTGGAACTTTAAATCGTGGAGGAAGCACCAATGGTCATACGAATGCGGACACACGGCAGTTGTGCAATGCGATTGTGAGTTTTACTTCGCTCAGGCGATTATGCGTCTTTCTCGTTTTGTGACGGTTCACTTGGCCCGCTACTTTCATTGCATGGTGACTAATTCTTATTTTGCATAAAAACCATAGTTTTTATCGAAGTCCATATCTCTTTTTTAGAGGAACTTCTCATTCACTACTGACGACGACGAGTTCTCATTGGGTGTTATGAGGTATGCTTTACATGTATTAATAATAGATTTACATTTTCTGTCTTGGCTTCGCTGCCATTCGGTCTAAAATGACTGCCTATGTTTTCTTGAGATATGCTTGCTATAAATGGCTGCGCCGTTCGCTAGCGGTTTGCGTATTTCCTATTCATAGAACCTAGCTGTTACTTACGCTATATTTTTTATCATAGAATGTTTTCGCTAACGTTTCTTTCTTCATATTTCACTAACCTTGTGTGATTAGAAAGCATCATCTTCTTGGAGTTTCTGTCACTTCAATCAACACTGTTTCCGTAGGTACGACCAAGCCGGTCTCACGGATGCATTGAATGCTTGCACGTCTTCGAATCTGAATGAGAGGAAAGATGGACTGCGGTCATTATTAGAAATTCTCAAGTAAGTCATAAACATTTAGTTCTTTTATATGCTGAAATTTTATCTGTGGCGAGATTTTTGCAGTTTGTTTCAGAGTTTTATGTTCCTAACGCTAATACAGTTCTAGAAAGCAGAACGCCCTTTTGAAATCAAATACCCTGGTTAATGTTGTTCAAAATTGCTTATCATTGTTTCTTCATCTTGATAAGGCTGCGTTCATCGGTCCGCAGCGTAGCGGTATAGGGGCCTGCAGGATCGCGAGAGTCGTTGAGGTTGCGGCCATTGCTCGCGCATTGAGCTTTCTCGGTTTCCTTTCTCCTTTTAGACGTTTTTTTTGCCGTCAGATGTAAGCTTCCAATTATTTGAGGCGATTCCGAAAAGTACAGGATTGTTTGAGTGGTTTGAGGCCTTGTAGCATCCTGCGTGGGCAATGGCCGCAAACTCATCGACTCTCGCGATCTGCAGAGCCCTATAGCATCCATTTTGTCCCATCACCTGCATGCGGCAGCGCAGCGGTGTGCGGACATTTTTTTGCTGCGCACGGATAATTCTGGACGCAGACTAAGCATAAGAGAATAGTTTAATATTTAGCTATAAATGATTTTGAGCAGTTTTGGCACAATGAGGCCCCGGGTTTTCAATGGGAATCCTCGTTTGCCGGCGCAGTGACTCTCGTTTCGCCAAATAAAACAAGGGCACAGGTCAGAGACTAATGCGTAATAACCTAATTTGTTCAGCTTTGCCATAAGCACGGTAAAGATTAACCTAACGTTTATTACTGTTTCGATTTTCATCACGTTGACGAGTTCGTTATTTTTCGAATTTTTTTTTGAAAGGGTCGTTAACTTACATTCTCATTCAGGTCTCGGCGCAATATCCCCCCTGCAGATATAAAGAAGATTTGTGATGTTTTGAATAAACTTCTCACCGAGGGAAATCATAAAGTATGGTAGTGATTTCTTATCATGTTGTATCCGTTCATTAGAATTTTTTCAGTTATTGTCCATGGTGATGGATATACTAAACGTTTTTGTGTCATCCTATCATGACAGTCTAGGAGATTGGTTGCAGTTCCTTCTGCTCAGGCTTCTGCACAAAAGTGGTGTTGAAATCCTTCCTACGGTTGTGGTATGCATTTTTGAGGTTTGAGTAGTATTCTTTTCTGAAGTTTCTTTTTAGCAACCTCTCAACATGGCGTTGAAAGCAGTGCGCACTACTTTCCGGCCAGAACTTCAGCTAATAGCCATTTGTAAAAATATCCAGGATCCCATCCAAACACCGCCGGTGAAGGTGCTTCCATTTTTTCTTTGCATAATCTTTCTGATAGTCATTTTTCTTTACCAGGCAAAAGCTGCTACTTTGAATTATCTGCATGAATTACTGCAAGGAATGGAACAAGGATCAAGTCTTAGTAGAGATGAGATCCGCGGAGCAGTGCAGAAGATTTTCCAGTGGATGGAGGATCCAAAGAATGTCTCTATCAAATTGGTAAGCCTTGGCTCAGTTATCATCGACTGTATATCTAAATGCTGTTTTAGGCCTGTGAACGTGTAATATACGACTTCTTTTCGCTTAACACCGCAGATTTTTCAACCATACTATCAACATATCCTCCACAATGGAGGGAGTTTGCGTACAGCCTTCTCAAGAAGAATAAGCCTAGGTTAGTGTGATAGTTGTTTATTGCCAGCTTTGCTCGTGTTTTCTGGAGGAGGGAAAGGGGAAGCAAAGAATTTCTGTTACTTGCGCTGCATATTTTAAATTAATATATTCTCTTTGAAGAATGGAAGTTCGTAAAAGAACGTGCTGAACGTTTTTTGTCCGGATGTATATGGAAATTGAACAACATAGTATACCTGTATGTTCGATGCCTCTTAAGCGTGCTTGTTGAGGCAACCACTGATAAACAACATTTTTTTGATGCAGTACTTTTTACTCCAATTCCTTTAATATACTGAAGATCTTTGAAAGCGATAGTGATAGCGATAGCCCTGGCTTCCCTAAGCCAAGAAAGTCGAATCAAAGGTTACTTGCGGATGCTGTGTCTGAGGGGGACACTTTCGCATGGCAGTGAAATGCCAAAACACCACCCTGTCCGGACACTGCCTTTAAAGGCAGCGTCCAGGCTAGTCTGGACACATGGGATTTTACGTGGATAATAATTTTGGAGCCCTAACTAAGCCATTGCTCAACCGGCAGCTCAGGTAGTGCTCTAACAGCTGAGATACTCCGCTCGAAACTGGACCCCAGGATCGTATTTTATGGATTCATGGCGCAACGCGTGGGTCCTCGCGCGAAACTGTCATGAATCCATGCGAATACGATCTCGGGCTCCAGTTTGGAGGCGTATATCTCAGCCGTTAGAGCATTACCTGAGCTGCCGGTTGGACATGGGCTTAGTTAGGGCCCCAAAATTACTTTCCATGTAAAATCCCCTTAGGTCCAGATCTGCCTGGACGCTGCCTATAACCGTCCAGGCCTCAGATCTGACACGGTCTAGAGGTCGTAGGTAGTGTTGACTTCATCACTGCGTGTGCATGCGCGATGCAGACAGTGTAATTTTTCAAAGAATTGTTGACAACTGAACGACAAACTGAGGTGCAAATCCAAGTCAAAAGCGATAAATACTAAGAAAGTTACTGTGTTCTAAAGTTAGGTTTGACTTTCGAGACACCCTGTAAATAGCCGGCTGCGAATCTTACCAGAATTGTCGATACATTGTTAATGATGCGACGCTGGCTTGCAGTTTTCTATGCATGAATGTGACAGTCAGACAGCTGTGAACATCCTCCCGTAAGCTTGGTGTGAGCTTATATTGGTGAGATCCATGCTGTCTCCTTCTTTTGTCATGATTTTGCCATTCATTTTTTTTGATACTCAGCGCAGTTTGGTATTAATTGGATGCAGCCTTCACTGTAATCATCTATCTTTGCGTAGAAGCAATTGAAAAAGGTGCCTCAATAGCCTTTTTTAAGCGAAGGCGGAGCACCAAGGTCACCTGCAGCAGCGCCTCCCGTTCACGAAGCTATCTCGGACATGTCTGCTCAAATTACCGATTACGTGGACAGCCGAGGCATCATGGCGGCTACACACACGCCTCCAGCGAATCTGTCCCCGTCACCAGTGAATGTTTCCCAGCTGCTGAATGGAAGCTCATCTAGGAATACATCGACGGTTTCGGACTTGGATGTAAGCCTAGGAATCGGTGAAGTGAGTAATTTTGTTAATCAATAAATCATCAGAAGAGATTTTCTAAGGCAGCGTCTAGCCAGTTGTGGGCGGTGAGATTTTGATGCGGATCATAGAGGGGCTTTCAACTAATTGATTGCTCAGGTCCTGCTGCAAGAGGTGAAGTCGAAGGCGAGGGAATAACTTCACAAGGTGGAAGCGGCGGTGATCGCTCCGCCTTCAGCGTGGATGGTCTAAAGTTATAAATTCAAAATTGGGCGTGAATCTGTCCGAAATTGTGAAATTCTGCTTTTTGTTATGATTCAGACTTTCCAGTTTTGGACACATCTAAGCCAAAGTTTGGAATTGTATTGACCACCCACGTTGATGGGCGGAGCTACCAGCACCGCTTCTACCTTCTGAAATGACTTTCTCGCTTCGAAATTCGTCTTTTACAGTGGGACTTGGGCTTTTACTTAGTCAGGGATCCCACTATTACCGTATCACAATTTCTGTCTCTTTGTTTGGGTGGACGCTATACCTAAGGAGTTTTTAAGTTGAGAGTGAATGGGTTTTCTTTTAGGCTTATAGAGCATTATGTGCATACAGTAAAGAAAAAGCCCGGAAGGTACTGTGCTGAATTTTTTTTACAATGTCTGTTTACGGGTTTGTCAGAAAATTCTCTGCCTTTTATTTACATCAAAATTGATTGATTTATAATGGACATAAAAATAGCAAATTGTGTTTCGATACACTTAGAAATTCAGAACAAAACAGACCACCCATTCTCGTACACAAATTACGTTCCTACCCTTCCGCTTTTTCGGAGAGATAATCTTCCTTGTATGGTCTATACTAGAAAATCGTATGCATATGTAAGTGCTGCTGCATGTGTTTTTGTTCAGTTGCTTCCAAACCAATCATCATTTGCGAAGGGAAAAATCAACGTCTGTGTATCAGAACAATTGCACTCGGTTTTTTTTAGATCGAGTCTACTATGTACTTGAAAGATGATGTGCAACTGCAGAACGAATATATTGCTAAGTTGCTGAAGGAGCTTTCCGTTTTGGATCCATTCAGGTATGCATATATCTTGGAAGCTTATCATGTAGTGTGCATATCAGTTATGTCAATTTTATGATAAGACTTGTATTTCATGTTCAGTTTTTGTGGCCTAAAATGTTTTAGTCATATAGAATAACAAAATATTGTATTTCAGGCGAAACGAGCAAAATCAAGCGCTTCAAACTCTACAACAAATGGTTAGCGAAGGCTCATTGACAACGTGGGAGGAGAACTTCAAGCCGCTTATCCTACACATCTTCAACGTACTAGCAGTCAATGATGTTACCCTGAAGCGTAATGCCTTGAAACTGCTCACAAAAATCTGGTAAGAAATTACGTGATGCTTTCTTTGCGCATACTATCGCAAAATTTTAGCGTGGCACAAGCGGTGAGCTTTTACGATTTGGCCGAGATGACGCTATTCAAGGTGCTTGACTCGATAGCCGAGGAAGAAAATCCAGTGAGGATTTTTTTTTCACCTCTTAAATCTACCTTTATTTCGTTCTCAATCTACTTAACAATAATCACTTTCTAGCAAGTCATGAATGTTGCCGATGAATGTTTAAAAACGTTGGCTACACATTTCCCTTTGCATGTCGTCATTCGAGCCACAAAGCCTATAATCGCTCAAGAGGTTTGCAAATCTATGAGTTTTTTATTTATCGTTTCCATATTTGGGAGAATCTAGCGGTGCCCACGGGATCGAGATACTACCTAAAAATCTCTTCTAGAACGATCCTCGAGTTGGTCCCGCGCTCAAGATGTTAACTCGTTTGATCGAATCGTTAGAGGCTGATGAGTTGACGGCTAGACTACCAGAAATTGCGCCAGGCGTTGTGAACGTGAGTCTCCTCAACTGTTCGGTTCGGCAGGGTCATGCTATTAGACCGAAGTATTTAGTGCTACTCCAATCCTCAGTCTAGTGTTCGAAAATCGACAGTTTTTTGTTTGGTAGCGATGGTGAACAAATTAGGAAGAGAGCCAGTGAATCCGTACCTCTCATCTCTATCAAATAGCAAAGTGAGTTGCTTGTACATTGTTATTACTGTTACATTGATCTCACTATTGTTTTTGCTATACGATTATGCTTCTGTACTTTTCCATGTTTTCTCTATGCTGGAACCAAGTAATTGTGATTCAAAAAAGGTGTCTCAAGAGGAAAGTGGGAAGTATTGGTGACCTTCCGCCTTTTAACATCAGATGTTGTGGAAATACTCGTTTTGAAACATCAATCTCAAGTTCTTTCGGAAATCTGCGAAGCGATCCTCTCAGAAAGAGTTATATAGGCCTTCGCTTGCGAGGGTGGCAAGGAAAGGATTGTCTTGGATCTGGGTGTCGGAAATATTTTCAATAGGTCTCTCTGGTGTGGTAGGATTCTGCAAGCAAGATATCCCAGGTTTAGTACCTGATGGAGCCGCTATTTTTGCTTTTCCTCTGACAAGTCATTTTTGTAATTAACACATGCACGACAATACATTCACAGATAGGTCATAACACTGACATTGCGAATCATAAATGGAAAATGCACTATCAGAAGTGGTGTGTTTTGTTGTGTCTTCGTTCCCATACTTAGGACATTCCTCCCCACTTTCGAGGGCAAAGGTCTTGTTAACTTCTTCAAGAGGATGGTTTCGCACATTTCGAACATTGTTTCAAGAACTTCTGTTCCGGAACCTGCATTTTTCCGTACACATTCTATGTTGAAAGGCTAGGAACCAAATGCTTCTCTTGCTAGCAATCTTGTTTCATTACGCTAAGTTTTTGACTAAGCAAAGTTTTCGCGTAATATTTCGATTACTCAACGAGTTATCTTTTATATGCTCCTCCACCTAGCAATTCTAGGTTTTGGAAAAGAAAAGTCGTGGTGTTCTTCAAAAATTCTTCAATATATTCGGATCGTTCCGAAGGGCATGAAATATTGACAGTACAAAAAGTGTAGGTAAATTTTTTGCTGTGAAAGGGGTTGTGTTATGTTTATCAGAATAATCATGGCAATGGGTAACTTTTTGAGTAATTTTCTTTATAAATTTGCTCATGGCGATGTTTCTCTCACTGCATTGTCAGCCTTGGAGATAGTGAAATTTGAAGAACAGTTTATGTCTGCTTTACCACGTCATTTATTAGTTTTCAGCATGATATTATTTCAGATCCACCTACTCGAAGTGTACATTCAGCGAACGCAGACGTCATCAACCCACTTTTGAGACCCCACTTGCTGACCGACATTCGCTTTTAGGTGCCTAGCTAGTCTTAGGATTCCCAGAATGCATTTTTAATTTTGTATTTCAGGGATCGAAGTTGTATCAGTTACTGGTGCAAATTACCCTGATAATGGTTCCTCAACCACGATCACCCTTTCACTGGTTCCCTCGCATGTCTTTGGACGATCACACATTGTTTAATTATTGACTGTTGTTCGCAGAGCTATTCGGCGTATCCCGGTGTGTTCGCCGCCCTTTGCTACTCACCGTTTCCCCCACATTCATTGTTTGCCACTTGTATGTGCATAGTATACTTGTCCTCGCCTTGTTGCTCGTTTCGGGATAAGTAGTTTGAAATTTCAGTTATCTCATCAAAAGAACAACTTGTGCGGGACTATTTCATTTAGTTCTATATGTTTGTTGATGCTCATATTGACCGTACGAGCTTAATCGTATGGTATTCCCAGCTTTGCCCTAAGTGGCGCTGAACTTGCAGCAGACACCAAATTCATTCTTGAGTCGCATCTTCTTTTGTTTTTTTTCTTGGTGGTGCTGCTATGCTTTTTTTCGCCACCGTGTAATTGTGTTAATGCGCAGTATTTATTATTGTGGCATATTCTTTCTAGCCTTCTAGGAACTTCCATCGCCCATTTGAGCTGAATTAAAGACCGAATCATGTTGATATTGAATAACAATCTTTGAAATTTTGTGGTTGTATAGAAACATAATGAAGTTTTATGTCTGGACAAATTTTGTTTCACTTTCCAATTTTTCAGATGAAGCATAGAAAGGGTAACTAATTTGTTTCTGGAAGTTTATTGTACAAAACGAGTAAGTCTGAAGCAAATAGGAGAAGGGAACTGCGAATCGCGTCACAAATGTCAAATTTTTGAGTCAGTAAGCTTAAAGGCAGTGTCCAAGCAAATCTGGACTCTTTGTTTTTTTGCGTGGAAACTGATGGGGGGCCATTGACTAAACCACTGCCCGAGTCGCAGCGCACGGGATTCGCTTACGACAGAGAAATCGGCCTCCGAACCCGTCGTCCCCGCGCCGTGACCGTATCACCTCAACAGCCTAAACGCACATCACGGTCCCGGCGCGAAACCATGAGGAGAGGGTGCAGCGCGGAAACTCGTTGCACAAATACTGCAGATTTCCTAATCCTTCTCTTTTGTTGTGATTTGCCATTGTTTTCGTTGTTTACTTGTTTTCTCTCGTCTTTTCTGTGTTTTCATGGTGTTTTAGTTGATTTCATATGGTTTATCTTCATTTTCCGTGTCATTTCGAATTTGTGGGATTTTTTTCAGCGAGTTTCCGCGCTACAGCCTGTCCTCATGGTTTCGCGCCGGGACCATGATGTGCGTTTAGGCTGTTAAGGTGTTACGGTCACGGCGCGGAGACGACGGGGTCGGAGGCCGATTTCTCTGCCGTGAGTGAATCCCGTGCGCTGCAACTCGGGCAGTGGTTTAGTCAGTGGCCCCTCATCAGTTTCCACGCAAAAAACCAAAGGGTCCAGATTTGCCTGGACACTGCCTTTAAAGGCAGCGTCCAGGCAAGATCCATCCACCCAGATTAGCATATAGTTGCAAAGGGGGGCCCATGAGTATCCGATCTGCGTTGGTCCGATCCTTTGACGTTTCCTCGAAAAGGAGATATGGGCCTGTGATACGTATCACAAATTGCCCCTTCGTATCACAAACCACCTCTGAGGACGAGTGTTCACGCAGGTGTGCAGTTGCATTGCAGTTGCACTGCACACTGCAATGCAACTGCATCCGTGCAGTGCAGCTCCTCAAGCTGGCATGCGATGTGGACGAGCAATCCGAAACTCGTCCGCTTCTTGAAGAGAGGGTCCCCAAGAATTGGGTTTTTTGGGGATGTTGAACAATTTGGACTTCACGACTGTAATCAGAGCCACGGAAAGGCCCCAGAATGGCAGAAACATGAGAGGCGAAATTTTGCCCGGACGCTGCCTTTAAGGTACGCGTCGTACTTGATCCACTTCATCCACTCATCCGTATCGTTATTGGTCAAATCAGTTAACTGACCAATAGCGAGTGCATCAAGTGGATGAAACGGACCAAGTATGGCGCATGCCTAAGGGGCCGGTCATAGTTTGCCCAAAAGCGCTTAAAAGCACCCAAAAGCGCTTCAAAGCACCCAAAAGCGCCAAAACGTCCCTTTCACTATGGCAGCTATTGCTTTCGGAATGTGGTTTGCAAGTCGTTATTCAATAGCAAAATGAATGCATTATCACATTCACATGATAATTAAGAACGATCAATGTCAGCTCGAGCTTCACCATAACACCATTTTTGATGTGACTTAAGCGACTTACAAGCATATGTGATTCTTCACGTAACCTCTCCCCATGAGTGCTGAAAGTATAGGTCGTTGGTAAATTCGTGACGACAGATTTGACTACGGTCTTTGCCACAGAAGCAGAAAACACTCATACAAAACGGTATTACCTTAACTCTCAGCTCAGTCCTTCCAGTGTCTAAGTTCTGTCATATGTAAACAGAAAAGCCATTCGAGTAGAGATGGAAACCTAAAAATGCGGCTGTCAAGAGATGCGCGTGTCGCGCGCGATCGCGCTATCGTCACGGTTTTTCGAACGCCTTATATATTTGGTTGTTACATAAGTATTTACACTTTAATTTCTTACGACGGTAAGTCGTAAACTTCATGATTTTGACAGGGCGCTAGGGTACCAAAACCGAAAAAACGAATAATTTCTTATTTTTACAGAAAAAGCTGTGCTGTTTCTATTCATGTAGCTGCATACTACAGTCCATTAGAAGTACAGCCGTAAATTCTCGGCTTCCCACAAGCCTTAGTTTTTAAAATACCGAATTTAGCACTGAACACACAGTGAGAGAAACTAAATTTGGTATCGAAAACTAGGGCTTGTGAGAAGCAATTTTTACGGCTACACTTCTAAGGGGATGTAGTATACAACTACATGAATAGAAATAGCACAACTTTGTTTTTGTAAACACATGAAGATTTTCCTATTTCGGTTTTTAAATGAGAAAAAAATACAGCAACGGTACATATGAGTGGCTGATGTGGTGTGCAATCTGTATGAACAAGTTGGAGATGCGGAGGATGTTATGAAAGAAGATATGAATTTGTCCTAATTTGAGCCTTCAGTGTGACTCACATTCCGGATGTAAAATTACGGTTGGTCGAAGATGGTGCGAACTTTTGCATGCATCCTGTAGAGCTTGTTTGCTCTATAGAATGGTACCTCGAAGTCCTGTCAAAATCATGAAGTTTACGACTTATCGTCGTAAGAAACTAAAGTATAACAAGGTTTATGTAACAACCTAATATTACGTGGACAAAGTGCTTTGATGATGTGCTGTGCATAACGGTTGTTTCTCTACCTTGAAATTTTTGCGACCAAACACTTTTGGATTTTCTGCTGAGAAAATGTGGAAATCACTGGATGTGCATCTGTAGTCATCATAAAGCTTTTCGTTTTAAGTATTGAACCGCGAGTTGTTTTTTTCGATTTACTAGTTGATTTTACCGCTGAATTAATCTTTAAACTTGACTCCAGCGTTGACAGTTACATCCGGTGCTTTTTGGCTTTTGGTGGAGTATGGCGGGTCCTTGACATAAGAAATTTTTGCACGAATGCTTGAATACTTTGAGGATATAGTGCTTCAATGCTCCGAGAAAATATAGTTTTATTCGGCACTTGGCTTTTGAGACAATCTCCAAAGTGTGTGCACTGATGTCAAAACTGTCAGCACAACATCCAAGTCTCAACGGAACGAGTACGACGTAAGATGGAACCATCAAGCATAAACTAGGAAATCACCTTTGGGCTCAATATCAAAGTAATTTCTTGCAAATTCCGAGCATACCATACCATCAATGACATCTGGTCGCCAGCTAGAACTATATGAACGATATTGAGCTCAGGGAAAGGAGAAGTTACGAGCTGGCAGAGACCTTGCGCCAATCAAAGATCAAGAAATTTGGGCGGAATTGTTGGAATGTTATCCCTGGTGGTCATATTATCCCAGTTTAAGTGTGTAATCAAAATCCCTCAAGACAATAGCTATATGTCGATGCTCAACCATAAATTGATTGAGAAAATTAAGTAAATCGCAAAGTGCATCTAAGCTACATGACGGAGTTCTATTAGGTCGTTTCATAAGTCCGTAGAGTTTTCAAAAAATCAACAAAATGACATAAAATCAACAAAATTTAGTCAATAATGTATATTCCATCGTTGCGCACAACCTTCTGCCGCCACGCAATCAGACTTTCAGTTCCATTTTTACAGAACTCAGCGGGTCTGGTCCCAAAAAAGTCGTCTAACCAGCGCCTAAGTTCGTCTTCAAAATCTAAACGAACCCCGTTCATATGATTTGTGATGGACTGGAGCAGATGATAATATGCTAGAGCGAGACCTCAGGAGCACATCGGATACTAATGTGCCTCCCGGTCAAGTCTTGCATGGCAGCTATGACTGACTACGGTTGCCGTAGAGGGCCAAGTTTTCTCGCGCAGGAAAGCTCACTTGACCCATTCATTAGGCCTTTTCTGCAGTAGATATTCGTTTAGACGGCGGAGTCGGGTTGTATGCAGTATAAGCGACCGTCCTGTTCTTGCCTAGCAATTTTTAATGCAGAACGTCCTGCCCATCCTGCAAAAAGTCTTGTTCAGGAGCATAGTTGCGATAGGGGGAGTGATGGATCTTAACCCCTTCACTTTGAGGCCAAACTCCGGATGACTCCCTTCACCTGGGCTGAGATTGGTATTGTACTCTGAGAATATGATAAAAATCGTTATTAAAAGGTTTTGCAGGCTAAGTATCTCAAACAACAAGTACATTCATAAATTTACAAAAAAACGGTATTTGTATATTATTTATTCATCCTCGTAGCATTCATTTGGAGAGCAGAAAGTGAGGACAAAAAAGCAGTTGGTTCTTGATGCATATAAAATCCCTCATATCTCGCGGCACAGAAGACCTAGAAAAAAGTCGATGGACCAACTCGATTCCCCATGATCTCAGCTTTCGAACGGTATACAGCATGTTAGGGCTTCTTTGCTTCCCGGCTCTAAAAATCATTTGCTCCGGTAACCGATAAAAGCCAATTGGTGGAGCTGGGTGGAGCTTCGCTAATAGTAAATGACTCCACCCCATTTTTGGAAACTGGTTAGTTTTTTCGCCCAGCAACCTATATACCATTCGAAAGCTCAGGAAAAGGGGATTCGACCTAGACCATCCACTTCTTTCTAGCCCCCCTCTACCGAGAGATACACCGCATTTTATCTGAAAACATGGTCATTTTTAACAGCAGATTTCTGCCAAATGAAGACCTGATCACTGCTGATTATCTATCTGTGTTAAAGAGGAAGTCTTCATTAACAAACGTAGACC